ATCATATTCATAGATTTGGATGGTCGAAAATTGGAGAAAGTTGTAGGGAGAGTATCTCCTTGAAGAAGACAATAGGTACTTTCCATGAGTGATAATTGTATGCAATTTGTGGCAAGCTGACGCGAGAACAGACCTAGGATCCTGAATCTCATCTTTCCCGATTTGTTTCAGATCTTCGGGCTCCTGCAGGCACACGTTTCCCTCGCACTCTCCGGAAAACGAGTGTTCACCCAGCTCCCCCGAAATTGCCACGCCGCTGTCTTCAAAGGCGGGACTTTGCACGCCATCTCTCTCGTTATGGTCTCGAGTCTCCATCCCTCGACAGCGAGGCTATTGCCACCGAGACGCAATGTTCATACTTGCCAATTATCTTCTGTATCTTCTTAAACCTTCCACAAGCTTTTACCTTTTCGAACTTTCACTCCACGAACATTACGAACCGCCTTTTGGGTTACCGATTTAGTCGCTGTCCTTGTTCTATCATTTATTTATCACGACAATTGTGAGTTCAAATAATCAGTTGCACGATTGACGAATTAAATTGCATGAAACGCGAATGCACGACTTTCTTCGACATATTTTCACAAGTACCCTAAAGTTACATCGCTCTATCCTAAGGATCAATATATGTATATTTAGTCGATTTACATGTTGTAATCCGTAATAGGCGAAATTCACTATTAAGAATGACTCGCGTTGTTGTTTTGTACACTTTGTATTAGGTTGTAATTGTTATATGGACGGTTCAAAAGCCAATCACTGCAAGTCTATTCTTCTTTAAAAATATGTTATCTAATAATATAAATAAAATAAAAATGTGCATCTTTATTATAGAATCTTTCGGTCAATAAATCGATACAGTCGATTTCTTCATAAAGAATGACTAAACAAAATTTAAAAAATTATAAAAAAAGGGATAAATAGAAAAATTAAATATTAATATTAATTTACATTTATTTATTTAATTATAATAAAAATTGTGCTTTGCATTATTAGTGGAATTGTTATTTTCTTGCAATTAATTTGCAAAATTATTTATCCCAATTTTAAGGTTAACACTGGACTTAAATTGATTGGCTTCTAAGCCACCAATATGTATGATGAGATAGTTATTGTTATATCAACTGTTGAAGAAGCTAATCCATCTGGTATGTCTGGTGTTTTTTGTTTATAAAAATCGTGATAGGGGTGGTTGAGCAAACAGCAATTCTGATGGATGCGCGTGTTTAAATGAGACGTTCAGCACTTAGAAAACGTTACGTTTTATTGATTGTGTTTTATAGTTTATGAGTAAAACCGCCTATATTTTTTAAATAATAAATTACAACTTCAATGATTAAAGTCATTCTCCAAAGTTGCTACATTGTTTTCATTTTTAAACAAAATAAAACTTTAAACATTGATAGTCGCCTGAGATTGATTTCGCAAAAAACTCCTTTGAATTCAGAAAAACAGCTCGAAGCATTAGGCTGGTGATGCAAATTTTAATATCGGGCGAGAGTTGTTCGCGAGCAGAGTGTAAAAAATCATATGAAAGGATGCGGACGAATTTCATAATCTTCGAAGAAAACATTACTACACTTTCCTGCGGGATGCTTTCGTTTTTCCCATTTACATTGGAGGTCATAAGATATTTGTATTCCGAGAACAGCGAAGATCTTTGAATGCTCTAGGGACGGGCTAGGGCGAAGCTGAAGATCACAGTCCCGTCATTCGGAAATCGTATCAATGAATAAATTTCTTTAAAAAATTCATCGTCATGGATATTTTTAGTGAATCCGATTCAAAGATTCCTATATCGACTTATCGCATAGGGAATGATGAAACACGGAATCGAAATTGGACGAGAAAGTCTCGGCAGATAGAAAACGGACGTCATCGATGAAATTTGCTGGGAACTACAGCATGATCTCACGATTTTTGAAACGGCAACCCTACTAACGCGGAAATACGTTCGAAACTTTAATCCGGTCACGGTGGGGGATTAAATTCCGTGCATTCTACGGGATGAAAGGTAGTAGTCCACGAAGATAAAGTTCGAGAGCCGTGTCGGTCTCTCTATTCTTTTACTGCTCCGGAAACTTTCGCGGTATGAGTTTCCTTGAACCGGATCGAGCGATCCACTTCGAAACAGAACTACAGAGACCGCGAGCCAGCTTGTAGGGCTACTGGGCTATTTCTTTTGATGTTTCCTACATGTTGATTGAAAGGGTAGACGGGAAATAATATTATCTTTAACCAGGCGTTCCGTCTCTTTATTAGCGGTCGTGCGAGAAAAACTGGAGCTGAGACGACGGAATCTGTTTTTCAAACAGAGGGTGTCATCCTCGAAATAGTACGTTAAAATTCTGCAGATATTTCTGAACAAAATTAAGTTTATCATGCTCTAAATACAATATTGACAGTAATTATCGGTGATAAAAAGTAAGACAAATTGAACAGACAATTAAAGGAATAATAAAAGGCACATAGAAGATTGCAATACAGTAAGAACCATGCCAGACAGTTAATTTATTTTACGGTATTTTCTCGATGATTTTGTCTCTGCAAATTCCTTTCTTTCTTTCTTTCTTTTGCTTAACATATTTCGAATAAAAAAGTGATAAAATATGTAATATTCAGATATTTACTTTCATTTTAAAGAAATCATTTAAAATCATGAAATTCATTTGAATTCATCACATTTGTTACAATATGGCCCGATCAAATATAAAAAGTAACAGTAGTTACTGTTTATTTTCAAGCACAATTAACTTCATATTTATCAAATAAGACATTAATCTTTTTATTTAAAACTAAACGAAATAAAAGAACACAAAAATTGAATATATCTCATTTGATAAACATAAAGAAACAAACAAATCAGAGGCATAGTCACCCCAGAACCCCGCAGCAGGGTAGCCAGGAAAAAGCGAGGTCTCTCCTCCCGTACCTCTGCCGCCCGACATACTCGACGAACTGCCTTATCGGAGGAATGGAAGGGATGCAGTTCGTCGGGGATTTCGGGGGGCATGCGGTGCGGAGGGAGAGACCTCGCTGTTTCGTGAATCGTGGTTACTCTGCCCCTGCCCCACTCTGCCCCACAGTAACCGGCTCCACTACCCTACGTACTGAACGAATGAAAATCAATATTCTGTAAAATAAATCGTACTCGGTAAAATATTACATATCACGATATTAATTGTATTGATAAAACGTATTAAAAGTACGGAGGAACAAAGCAGTGATTGTTTATTTGACTTTATGTTTTTACTTTAAATTTCAGTGGTTCATTTACTGCATACAGTAACTTAACCTATTTTTCGCACGATGCGTTAGTTACTGTGCACAGTAAGTGAACCTATTTTTCGCTCGATGCGCGCGTTAGTTACTGTGTCGCTTATCACAGATTAGACCAGCCTACATAACCTCAAACACATCTCTGTCATATTTTTGACGAGAGAACCGTAAGTACGAAATTTTATTAAAGCAGACGTTTCTGATATGAACTTTTCAAATACTTATTATAATATTACATTCTTTTGTATAGAAAAATTTTATATAGAAATGAGTACATCAAAAAAACAACGTATGCTGTACACCAACGAATCCATCAATTTAGCTGTAAAAGCTGTTAAATCTGGGATGCCAATAAATGCTGCAAGCCGAAAATATCAAATACCACGATCAACTTTGCATAGTAAAGTAATCGGCCTGTATGACAATAAGAAACCCGGGCCTGTTTCCATTCTGCCTCCTAATCAAGAATCACTACTCGTAGAATGGATTTTTGAATGCAGTTGCAGAGGTCATCCAGTAACTAAAATGCAATTATTAAACAGTGTTCGCATTCTAGTAAAGGAAATGGGAATCAAAACTCCATTCGGTGAAAATGGTCCTGGTAAAAGTTGGTATTCTGGCTTTTTAAAGCGGCATGAGGACGTGTGTACACAAATGACTGAGAACTTAACCCACGCTAGAGCTGCAGTATCTGAAGGGGCCTTAAAAAAATGGTTTTCTACAGTAGAAGCACACTTAAAGGAAAAAGGTTTGCTCAATATTGATCCATCTAGAATATTCAGTACAGATGAAACTTCTTTATCATTGGATCCTAAATCTGATAAAGTATTGAAAAAGAAAGGAAGTAAAAATGTCTATTCGATTAATGAAAAAGAAGCCTTGACAGTGTTGGTGACAGGGAATGCGGCAGGTCAACTAGCACCCCCTCTTGTTATATTTTCTTCGAAGCACATACCAAAAGAAATGTATGAGAAAATGCCATCGGGTTGGATCTATGGTACATCGGACAGTGGTTGGATGCAAGGAGAACATTTTTACGAATATGTAACTAATGTATTCTACCCTTGGATTATCAGTACAAATATACCTTTACCTGTGATTTTATATGTGGATGGACATGTTTCTCATCTTACACAACCTTTGGCTAAATTTTGTGTAGCAAATCGAATTGAACTCATTGCCCTACATCCAAATTCCACGCATATTATCCAGCCAATGGATCAAAGTATGTTTTGTCCAATGAAAGCAGCCTGGACAAGGCAAGCGAACGAATACCGACAACAAAATAATTGTTCGAGTGTATCAAAAATTGATGCTGCTCAACAATTAAAGAGAGTGTTTGATAATTTGGATCTTGAAAGGATTTTGAGTAATGGGTTCAAGGCTTGTGGTCTAATGCCATTTTCCTCAAATGCAATCAATTATTCTAAAATTTTTCAACGAACAAATACACCAAATCAATTAAGTGAGCAGCCAAATGATCGATTAAATGTAGATGAAAGAAATCTAGATTATATCACAACTTTAAAGCGTATTGAAGAAAACATTAATCCTGCAACTCTAACTGTTTTTCAAGCAATGGGTAATACAAATGAATGGACTGGTCGAACGGAAGACACAAGTCTTTTTTATGTTTGGAATAATATATCAAAACTTATTGAAGGTGAGAGCACTCAACAAATATGTCCAACAACGAAAGCCGAGAAACATGATGTTGGAAATAGTCAGCTTGATGAAAATGGAAGTAATAGTATGGTTGTGCTTGAAGAAGTGATGATAAAAGAAGAAAAAGACACGGAATAGGAATGCAAAAGAGATTAAACGAGCAACAAATGAAAGAAAAAGCAGAAAGTAATGAAAGTAATGCTCCTGCCAAAAAGAAGAAAAATTATTACAAAAATTTTATAACTGAGGTTTGTTTAAATAAAATATTAATTACATTTCAAACTATTTCTTAAAATTAAATTATTATACATATTATATTAATATGTAATAATGTATGTTAAATATTACATTTTTATTGTATATAGTTATCGAGGGTGTCAGTTTTCAGGGAGGGAGCTCAGAATTTTCTCTCTTTCTTTCTCCTAATATTCAAAAAAGATTTTTGGTAGCGAAAACTAACGTCCGCCAACAGGGCATAGTAATTAACTTATCTATTTCTATATGGGATTACTTGTATCATGTATGCATTATTTATTTAAACAAACATATTGCCATTCCCGTGAAATATATTCAATATGAAATGAGAAATCATTGTTATTAAATGTTTGACGACATCGGTTCAACCATAAATGATTATTTGCTGTCAGAATTGCAATTAAGACAAATGTGTGAGATATGTTTCTTAATGTAGTTCTTGTGTAATCACGTTTTGTATAGATTGCACATAATTCAATTTTCACTAGGTTTGCTGTTGCTGCATGGTTCAGTGCGAACAAAGCAAGAATACTTGTCTCCCGAGGAAATAGTTTGTTACAACTTACTACGAACTTGAATTTTTACATTTCATCTTTGCAACAGAGAAAATGCAAATTTGTCAAATGTTCACTGAACACTGGACTAATGTAATGTGTAAGGATTTATTTACAACAAAAATACAAAAGTTCAACCGGTTTATAATAGCAACTAATTGTAAAATAAATGCTGAACAAAATGTACTTTCATATGCCAAACAATAAAATTTTAACTTATTGACTTACAGTCAGACTTGTGGTGTTGAATTATTTAAATAACATGAACACTAGTGACGTTGTCTAGGCGTTTATACAAAATGCTGCATTATCAGATTTAAATTTAGATTTGTCGATCAGAAAATTTTTGATTATGTTACAATTTATCCTGCGTTGTAACCTGCCCCGGTCTTCTCTACATTTTAATAATTTTAATCTAGTCGATACAATTGAATCCTCTGAATAGTTATTAATCGCTTTGGACAGCTGTAAAATTCTGGGATATTGATTGACGAAAAGTGGATCTAGAATACTGTTTATCGGCACCAAGAAATGATCTCATCCGATAAAGTAGGGGACCACAGATACGTAGATCAGGACAGAGTATCGATGCATTGACAGCGAAACAGAGTTAGGAGCCTAGCAACTTCCGCATTTATGTCCACCGCGTGCGTATCGAGGTCACAGGAAGCTGTATGCCGGTGTTCTTCTCTGAATTACAGTAAAAGCTCGGCAAATAGGATAAAAAGACAAAGGAGGTGCGTTAAGTACGGTGCTGAATGTGTAAACATATTTGTCGTAAGCGGAGCGAAGGAAAGTCAAAGTTTGTGAGATTTATTAAAACAAACTACCGCATCGCGGCGCGCCGCGGTGGTGCGCGCAATTTCGAATTGGTCAATGGTCCGTAACAATGGAACGATTTCGACCGTTTCATGAAATTGGAATTCTATTCAATCCTACTAGGTTTTTGCACGTTATTGATATACAACGGCGGTAGAAATATATTCGTAACTGAAATCACCTAATAGATTACTTAAATGAGCCGTTTATATTTTGAAAGTGGTATAAGTCACTTTGTTTTTAAGTCGATATATTTAAGGGTTTCCGTTTTAACACGTTTAAAAATATGGATGCTAACTTTCGAGAAGATTTACTTGTATTTGTTATCTCAGGAGACTGATATTTTTCTCAGTATAAATAATTTCGTATAAACATTAAAAAATCACCACTTTTCATTACGGTAAAGT